CAGTCTCCCCGACCTTCGGGAAAGTCCCCCTGATTCTCCACGCATTCTTGAGGGCTTGGTCACCCGCTCCGGCCCCCTCCCGGTGGCAGCATAGTTTTGGAAGTGCGTGTACATCATTCATTCACAAAGACTGACACACAGGACGTGAGGCATGCGGGTGGAGGGCGTGCGTGTGAGCAGGCGCGGGAGCCTCGCGAGCGGGTGTCCGCACAAGGGCTGTAGGCATAGTGGACTCCCTCTGCTTAGTGAGCCAGGGAGCGGGACTGTTTGTAGGTTTTTTCAGAACCTACCGGTGCAATCAAGAAAAAACCGACCTGCCCTGGATAAGCCTCAAGCCCAAGGCAGCCTACTGGGCACCCCAAAACAGAGGCTCACACGCTGCTGTTTTATTGGGAGAGTCCAGAACAGGGCCCCCAAACTAGAATCAGTCCTGGGCTTCCATAAACTTCATTTTACTTAGAGCAGCGCTGGCGCCGAAGGGGAAGTTACTGTTCTGCCCCTAACTATGTCCCCGTTGTCCCTTTCACAGGCTCTCCCCTGGGAGATGAAACTGACAACGCCACTCTACCACCACCACCACCACCAAAAAGGCCACCGGATGTCTCTGTGGCTGTGAATTTCTGGAGCCATCACCCGTGACATCATCCACTTGGGAACGCCAGACACTTCAGACACCCCAGCGTGATCCCGAATAATTAATGATTTGCCCCTGGTACATTGCTTATCATAAATGGAGATGGTTGGTCTTAGCAACCAGAAGATATAGAGGTACGTACATCTACTCCTATATAGAGACAGCTAGGGCCAGACGTTCAGAGCTCTCTTTCAGTCACTAAAAGATGAAATGTAAACTTTTCTGAGCAACCTCGGAGAAAGCTATTTTTACTAAGTGCGGTTGCCTGATTTCTAAGCATACGTTGAACTCCCACAGCTTTGCCTGTCGCTGTAACGTCTGCCTCTCCTGAGTTGTAACACACCTGCTTTCTTTCCTCTAACCCCAGGTTCGTCTCCTTGCAGCCTTCTAACTCGCAGGCTTCCCACAGCAAACGAGGGAAGGAACTAGGAATAGAAAATAAATCTTGAACTTCCGGTTCACACTGCAGATCATGCCCCTCCTTCAGTAAACCAGGGGGAAAATATTTGTACGGAATAATCCTCATTTGTGAAGGATTGTTGTCATCCAGCTGTGTCTCCAAAAGGTACAGGAAAACAATGCTGGCCCCCAGATGACAAGAACAGGCAGTTCTGATCCTGGGAAAAGCCGGGGAAACAGCTGATGGATGAATTGTGCATTCACACATCCAGATGAGCCCCAAAGAAAAGGATCGGAAACCAGCCCTGCCGTACCCACTGTGAATACATTAGCAGAAGAACTGAGCAAATCAAGTGTTGCTTGGAGGAATTTTCTCTCATTGATGTTATCTTCAGAAAATGTTGGGTTTTGTTTTAATTCTAGTATGAGTACTTGGCTTTTTTCAAAAGCAGCTTCCTCAGAACACGTCCTTTCTCTCTTCCCCAGTGGGGTCCTTCGCTTTCTTCTCCAGGCTAGCCTAAACACCGCTGCTAATACCCCGCAACCCTCCTCTTCGCTAAGAGTCCTCCCTGGTTAAACTGTAAACACTTTCTACTCCAGCAGCGGGGAGGTTTAGTCCTTCAGTTCTTCAACTCAACGTGTCCTCACCCTTTTCTAACCTAGCCAGGCCGGAAGCACAGAAACTCGAAATGTTTGAGGGTCCCAGTCAAGGAATGGGGTTGGGGAGATGGCCAGGTTGGGGAGATAGCCAGGAGCCCCCCACGGACCTCCCAGAAAGTTATCTCTATGGGAGCTGATCATAAATATCATATCGGTGTTATCAGAAGTTATGCATCGAACCCTCTGGTTGAAACTTCACTTGGGACAAGGAGCACTAGTACAGACAAGTTAAAACATTGCAACTATCAATGTGATTAATCCAATCAAATTTGATTAATGAACATTTTCTTCTTTTTTAAAAAAATATTTTTTTATTGATTTCAGAGAGGAAGGGAGAGGGAGAGAGAGAGAGAAACATCAATGATGAGAGAGAATCATTGACCAGTTGCCTCCTGCACGCCCCCTACTGGGGATTGAGCCCTTACCTCAGGCATGTGCCCTGACTGGGAATGGAACCATGACCCCCTGGTTCATAAGCCCAGGCTCAATTACTGAGCCACATCAGCTGGGCGAAAATTTTATGCTCTTCAGAACACAAGTAGATTTTCCTAAATGTTCCTTATGAACTTCAGATGCCATGTCCTTAAAGACAATGCCTGGCCCAGCGCCTGACACACTGCAGATGCTCCATAAATATGTGTTGAATGATGAATTATCAACTTCCTGGTCATGTGGGCGTCAGCTTGCCACCAACTCTCTCTAATTTCAAGATCGAGTGAGTTTGGTCTGCTATGGCTGTGAAGATGAACTTGAAAAGCGGCAGTGACTCCGCACCCAGGTCTGCCCGTTCTCCCACAGGGCAGGGGGGAGGGTCTGTTCCCCAGCCCCCATGTCACTCCAGGTCATTTGTGCCTCAGTTTCCCCACCAGCAAAACAAAATCGGCAGAACCTTGCCTTCCACTTGGCTAATTGTTCCTAGATTAAATCTGATTGCTAAGGCATTCAAGACAAATCAACAGAGGACATACTTTTTACTAGTAGCTTGTGCTTGTTCTCCTCACTTGGGAGAAAACAGAAGTATATTTTTAAACATTCCTTAGACTTAGGGAATTACATCCAGCAAGTGCTGCAGCTGTTTAAGCCAGGAACATCATGCCAGTAAGATTTTTTTAAAAAAAGCTGCAGGAGTTGAGGGCCAAGGGTGTGGAACTAGACATTATTGTACAAGAAAAAAAAATAGTCACATTTTTACATGGATTCCCTCAAAAAGAAAAAACCATAAACTCTGTCAGTTATAGTCTTCCTTCAACTCCACCCCAAATTGAACTAAAAGAAATATGAAAATTCACCTAATCTCAAACACAGCAGGCAGATGCCCCTCTCCAGAAGTGTGCGAGAAGAAGTCGTCAATTTCCTGAATGTTGAACTTCGACAAACCGAGGGATCTCTGAGTTTCCAGCTAAAGTACGCTTTCTTAGAGGTAAATGCAAAAACAGTCAGACCACTAACGGCTAATCCAGGACAAGCTGATGACTCACAGATGTTAATTTACCGGTTTAAGTGTAAGATTAAAAAAAAGAGAGAGAGAGAGAAACTCCTCGATTAACAACCTGAGTTTGTGGTTGTTTTTCTTTGAGAACAGGCAACAGCCTCTGACACAGAAACAGGCTCCTAAGGCTTAACTGGAAGGCAAGTGGTTTCTCTGATAAGTTGAGCCCTTTAAAAGCACCCGGGGAAGAAAGATGCCTGGGGCTCCCCGTCCACCACCATCAAGCAGCAATAAAA